TATTTTTCATTTATTTTTCATTTATTTTTCATTTATTTTTCATTTATTTTTCATTTATTTTTCATTTATTTTTCATTTATTTTTCATTTATTTTTCATTTATTTTTCATTTATTTTTCATTTATTTTTCATTTATTTTAAATTCATTTAAATTCATTTTTCATTCATTTTTCATTCATTTTCCACTTATTTTTCATTTATTTTTCATTTTTCATTTACAACTCATTCGTTTTGGCAGATTTACACGAGCATTTCGAACAAGTGCGTCGGGATTCTTCTCCGCGGGAGGAAGCACAAATTGCTGGACTTCCCCGGGGAGATGCTCTTCCAGGTACTTTTGGCGCTTCTGGTACTTTTTTTTTTAGTACCCGATTCGTTCGTCGATGTACCGATCGATTGCAGAGGCGGGACGACGACGTGGTCATCCGACTCCTGAAGCCCATCGCGGAGATCCGGGCCGAGACGTGAAAAGGGCCGACGAAGGTGGCATCGGGCCGACGAAGGTGGCATCGGGTCGACGTCACTTACAATCACTAATAAATGTTTGGCCGCTTTGGCGTGATAGGGACTGGGGCGTTCGAATCGCCCGTAGAAACACGAGCGGTCTTTTTTTTCTCTCGCAAATTTCTTGTCGTTGCGATTCTTGTATTCTGCAATTCTTGTCGTTGTGCTTCCTTGACTCGAATAAAAATGTCGTCGGCGTCGACACTTTCCGTTTCGTCGGTCGATTCGTGCCGGCGGCGAAGGGAGAAGAAATGCTGAAGGTCGGGCGCCGGTCCGAGCCGCCTTTTTTTTTTTCCCTCGTGCGTTACGAGATGCACGAAGGCGGGGCGGAAATGTCGGCTCTGAAGGTCGTCTCCTCTGCGACCGGCAGCCGGTCGGCCTCGACCTTTGCGGCATCTACCGCGAGTCACCGCAAGGACGAGGCTGACGGAGACGCCGCGCGCGAAGTCCGCGTCGACCTCCACGCGCCCAAAGCGATCATCCACGATTCGCCTCCGCCTCGACCAAGCCCCTCTCGAAACAGAGAAGAAACAGAGAAGAAACGGAGAAGAAACAGAGAAGAAACGGAGAGGAAACGGAGAAGCGACGAGACAAAGGAGGAGGAAAAGGAGGCATAGCAGACGACGCTGACGCTCGAGTCACGTGACCCGAGTTGTTCGTTCCGGGCATCGATCGTGGTGGCGTTCGCGTTCCCTTCCTGCCTCCTCTCCCACTCTCCCTTTGACCTTGCGCAAGGAGACACGCACCGGCCTCCCCTCCGCCTCTCATCGCCAGGTAAATCCACTTTTAACCTTTCGCAAACAGTTTGCAGTTTCACTCGCGCTTCGATTCGGTTAGTCGCGCCCTTGTTTGCTCCGAATCGACGCGACGGGGGCCCCGCTCGAACCGATTTCGTTCGGTCGGTGGCATGCTCGGTGTGCGGCCGGCATTTTGCGCCTCGTCGGCTTCACTTCCGCTTCGTGGGTGGGTCGTGGCCCCCCCAAATCGGAGTGATGAATTTCTTTATCGCCTCTATGCATTTTTCGATCGAGTGCTCATTTGCCTGCTCGACAGATGCAGATTGGATTCTCTTCCGAGCGTGAAGTCAATTTTTTGCTAGATGGAGTGCTTCCGCCTAGGCCGAAATATGAAGTGCAATCTCGGAATTTGCTGGTGGTAGAACGGTTTCATCGAGCAAATGTTTGACTGTAACTCTGAAAATTGGCGATGGCATGTACATCGATCGTATGTTGACCGAAGTTCTACGTGACTGTTTGCTCTCTGGAGAAGTGTGAAATCGACAGCTTCTAATTTGAAGTGAAGCGTTCCCCTTGTCAGATTTGATATTCAATATATGCCTAGGTTGCATTTTTCTGGGTTTTCAGGTTAAAACGTTGCCCGAGCCACTGTGGCTGCCTTTTGATGAGCAGGCTTTGGTATAATTTAGTATATATCACTGTCTCCATAATTCTAAGCCCATGAGAATTGAAGCTTTTGTCACTGATATTCTTCCTTCTAATGATCTGTTTTTGTTAGTACCTCCTGTTTTTGTTAGTACCTCAAATTGCTAATTTGTGAACCATTTGGCTTCCTTTGCCTACTGCATTTCTAGCCTCATTCCATGCTGGGCACTAGCATTCGGCTGGCAGGCGGACTTACCTTCACGAATCGCGTTTTCACTTGTAATATCTGGAATCTGGTATCATTTTTCCTGGAAGATATGAAGGAATGAGCTCTTAATGTTGGCATGGGCAGGCCAATGAAGGATGTGATGAGACAAACTGAATAAGTGGAAAAGGGTGAAGGTAACAAACTGGCTGAGGTATGGATGCCACTTTTAGCTTTAGGCTGCCCCTTGGTGACTATTCCATGGCACATTAGATTCGGAAAACACCAAGGTTTGTCGGGTTGGAGGCTGGGGGTCTCTGTCTGTGAAGCTTGTAAATGTGGATTTGACGATTGACCCACTGTATAGGCCTAAGCCTCTGGAGTAATCTTCATGCAGTTCAGAGGGTGTCGAGTGTCATTAGAAACTGTATGCTCGGGAATGCCGTGGCACAAGTTGATTTCTATTTTTAATGTACTTGGGGTATGAATACTAAACTAGGTTTAGGTTATAGCAAGTATATTGGTATTGGTCTCTTTATTTTCCTAGAAGCTAATGGCAAGTTTTAAACTGAAAACATTTGCATAACTTCTACGCTGAATTGCCCTTGTTTTCATCCACTGTTGCAGTTGACACCCAGTTGAGTCATTCCAAAGAAGTGAATCAGGAGACATTTAGAAGTAACCATGGCAAAGGTTGGAATTAATGGTTTTGGCCGCATCGGTCGCCTCGTCTTCAGGGCTGCCCTCGACAAGGGTGTCAATGTGAGTTTAAAATCAAAATTGACTGCAGAAAATTGGATGACTGCAGAAAGAAAGGTGGATGCAGTCATGACAGGGATCTATTCCGTCTCCTCCAGGTTGTTGCCATCAATGACCCCTTCATCGACCTGGAATACATGGTCTACATGTTCAAGTATGACTCAACACATGGAAGGTTCAAGGGTGATATCAAGGCTGAAGGGGGCATGCTGATTGTGAATGGTGAGTATATGAGAAGGCCAATTTACACTGTAGCACATTAAGCATCAGCTTACAGGTTTTGATCAGAGTACTTTTGAACATTTAATGGCAATTTGTTCATTTTTCAGGTCTCGGTTGAACAGAAACTAGGATAGGCCTAAAGACAACCTGACTTTCCTGAGAATCTCCTTTTATTAGATAGTCCATGCTTTGGGTTTTTCTGTATACTTTAATTTTGAAGAGCTTAGGCTTTAATTCGCTGAATCTTATTATATGCTAATGTCTAACTTTTGCCATCTTTCAACCTGAGTGGGTTTTTCTAGTGCTACATTTCATGTACAGGTCAGCAAGTTCATGTTTATGGAGAGAGGGACCCTGCAAACATTCCATGGGGAAAGCATGGTGCTGATTATGTGGTGGAATCCACTGGAGTCTTCACAACAATCGACAAGGCTTCTGTGAGTCCCTACTCCAACTTTTTAGTGTTTGGTTGCTGTTGAAGAAGCCATTTCCTCTAATTTGTTGTTCTTGTATTGTTCTTAGCTCCACTTCAAAGGAGGAGCAAAGAAGGTGGTCATCACTGCCCCCTCGGCCGATGCCCCCATGTTTGTCATGGGTGTCAATGAAGCTGCTTATGACCCAGCAATGAAGGTTTTGCATTGTCCTTTTTTTCTAATTTTTTTGTTGGTGTTTCGGAGCTGAATTTTTCAATGCCTGGCATTTAATTCATCAGGTGGTGAGCAATGCATCATGCACGACCAACTGCTTGGCTCCCCTGGCCAAGGTCATTCATGAGAACTTTGAAATTGTGGAAGGTCTGATGACCACAGTCCATGCTATGACTGCCACCCAGAAGACTGTGGATGGTCCATCTGCAAAGGTCAATATTATTCATATTCATGCACTGCACGGCTTTGATATTTTCTTGGTTTTTATTATTCAGTTTTCAATTTTATCTTTCAAGTTTTTAAAGGGGGGTGGGAAATTGCCATACCCTGCAACACTTGGCTGTTAAAATAGTCAAATGTCTCACTTAGTGTGATCACCCAAAACATGATGATTAATGAGATCCAATTCTGAATGTCATTTGAAGATTGATCTCAAACGAGCACCATCTGAGTTTACTTATGTTTCAATCTGTGTGCGTCTGATGGTATGATGAAAATTGCTGTCATGACGATTGTGTCTGTTGGGAACAGCTCTGGCGTGATGGGCGTGGTGCAGCCCAGAACATCATCCCGGCATCGACGGGAGCAGCCAAGGCTGTTGGAAAGGTTATTCCAGCTCTGAATGGGAAGCTGACTGGCATGGCCTTTCGTGTCCCCACCCACGATGTCTCTGTTGTCGACCTCACCTGCAGGTATGAATCATTCCTTTTTTTAATTATATCTAGTTTACCCTTGATCGAAAAACTAGAGGCTTTTCTCTTAAGGGTTAGAATTGGAGTACTATATGCACTGGCAGCTGACTTTCAATTAATGATGGAAGGAAATTAGTGCTTCTCATAAAATAGTTGTTTCATGGTGTTTCCAAAACATTCCTGTTAGCAGCTCAAGTAATGGTTATACCAGTACTTCTTGCAATTGTTAATCTCTTATGCCATAGAGATTATAGAGAAAATGCTTAGAATGAGATGCTTTCAGAAGGGTGTGAGCATGTCCAGATTTCTGCAGTGATGCTTAGAAGCCATTTCCCTTGTGAAATATATTAATGATGCTCCAATAACTTGAAGACTTGATTTTGTAATGTGAATGGTCAAATATGCAGATGATTCAAAGTGCCACCAGTAAATTAGCTTGGCCAGACTTGTTGGCCTTCAGTATGCTTCTTTAACGAGCCTTTTAAGGTGAAGATTTGTACTTTTGCCTCAGTGAGCCTCATCCTTTAAGATTTCATAAAAGTTGAATTTACCACTTGTGCATCGTATGATTCTCTTCGTAATGGTATGCAATGATGCCGATTGAAACAATCCAACTCCAGCTACCCTTGCTGGACAATAATCAACTGAGTAGATTCTTCCTTGATTTCATAATTTGTTTTGTGATGTAGTGTGCACAATTTAACTCGTTGCATTCGTTGTAGGCTCGGTAAGGCCTGCACCTATGACGAGATCAAGGCTGCGGTCAAGAAGGCGAGTCAAGGCCCGATGAAGGGAATCCTGGAGTACACAGAGGACCTGGTCGTGTCTTCGGATTTCATCGGCGATCGTAACTCCTCCATCTTTGATGCCCAGGCTGGAATTCAGCTTAGCCCAACCTTCGTGAAGCTCATTTCCTGGTATGTACCATTCCCTCGTTCGAGATGTTCTCTCCTTGCACGAAAACGTGACGTTCGTCTCGTCTTCAGGTACGACAACGAGTACGGCTACTCTCATCGCGTGGTGGATCTGCTTAACTACATGGTCACCAAGGACAAGTAAAGGGAATCCCTGCAAGGGGCTCATTGGGAGAGTCCAAGGTCACACATCTGTCTCCAACTGATCTTTTTTGTCCCCAGTTATCCATAGGAAGAGTTTGGATCTTATCTTTCTCTGAGGTCCTAGACCTTTGAGTCCAGTGGTGCAATGCAATGTCTTGCTAGTCTTTTGTATTAGTAGAGAAATTGAGTGTCCTTGCAATTTATTTGAATCTTTGTGCAAGATGTTCCTTGAATGTGTGCAATGCCTGAATCTGTCAATTTCAGTGTGGTTGTGAGAGTCATTACTCTATCTCTCGCCGTCTCATGCATGTCAATCTCGATCCTGTTATTTCACCTCTGTTTTTACATGGAGTAAAGTGGAAAGTCTGCATTCACTTGGTGTGTCATTGCATCTCTCTACAAAATATGTAACAGTAATGCTTGGTATGTCTCTACAGCCTATTCTGAAAAACGACCATCTCGCGCTTTGAGGTTTTCCTTTCAGATTTGCCATAGGAATAAAGAACTGGTCACTGCTCCATTTCATAATGGGGGGGAAAAGTATCTAGAGGCATGCCTTGCATCTGTTAGATCTGTCTCCGTGGTCTCAATGATGTTCTGAAATGGGTGAACAGCCAGGTGGCACGATTTAAAATGAGCCTATTTTAGAGGTATGCCTTATGGCTTTGCCTTTCAAACAGGCATGGCAGATGAGCCTAGACTGGGCAAAGCCAACGGAAAGTGCACTGGAGCGGCCGCCATCTGCAGCCGTCAGGCCTGCCAATAAATTCATAGCTTCCTGCTATGATCTCACTCCCCTGTGAGGTCAGACGCTCACCATTGGAGTCGGGGCTTCATTCAGCCATGCATTTAAAAAGATGAACATTTTGCTTCGGGAGAGTCCCATTGCGATGAGCAATAGATGTTAAGGCAGTGGTAGCACACTGGCGGCAAAATAGGCCTAAGTCAACCTTCGTTGACTAAAGATAGTGTTTTGGAAGTTTATTAGTACAGTACCAGCTTTTCCATCGTTGAGGCGTAGAAACCCGGTATTTATTTTCGTTGCGCTTAACAAAAGTAGTTTCCCATGCCGTTTGATCCAGTGTCGACACTACGCACAGAAAAATGCGTCACACCTAAGTTCATATCCCTCTAAGAGGCCAATAGTAATCGAGCCCGATTCGCGATACCCGACCCCAGTCGTTGTTGCACCTCGTCCTCGACGGCAGCAGCGATGGCCGACGGCCTCTCGAATCGGCGTGGGATCTTCGACCGCTTCGTCCGGTCTAGTTTATCATTTCTCTGCTTTTCGGTTTAATACCCTTGCTCGTGCTGGGTGGCGATCCGTTTCCGAAGTTGACTCGATTTTGATGCCGGCCTGGAGGGACTCTTCATTTCGGAGGAGGGGACGACACGACGGTCTCGCATTCGCGTCTTCGATTTAATCGATTTGGAAGTGCTTCGCGTAGAAGAGTAAGAGAATGGGGACGCGACATTCGTCCACGAAATCTTCCTCAGTGCGAGTCTTGCGTCTCCTGGAGCAGACGGTGCCGGTCGAAAGTGGAAAGATTTCCCCGCACGGTCTCGCTTGCATCCGGCCACGCTTCGATTAGCCCTGCCTTTCTTTATCTCCCATACTCACATAGGTAATGTTTCCTGTTAAATTGATTTTGGATGATATTTCGCCGAAATTTCGAACCACCGAAATTTGACATAGAAAGCGATCCGAAGCGTCTCGAGTAGGTTAACCTTTTCCACTCGAATGGGCGAGTATACTCGCCCATTGGTACTTTGACTCTTGCATTCGTTTCATGCAGTATAGTATACTACAGATTAAAAGTCTCTTCATTCACTCGGGTGGGTCACCTTGCTGCACCGGAAAAAATTACGTATTTTCATTTTTTCGTTTTATGTGGTAAAAAATACGAGCTACCGGAGAAAACATATGAAAAAAAAAATTCAAGTGGAAAAGGTTAAAGCCTCGCCTGGACCCACGATCGCCTCCTCGATACGAAAGCAGGCATGTTACGAGGGCCACTCAATAAGTTATCTACCTGAATATGAAAGGGATGATAAGAGTTGACTTATATTCCCAGGGGATAAAATCCTTGGAATCAAAGTGGAATAAGTGTGTCGAGTTAAAAGGTGACTACATTGAAAAATAAAGTGGTTTTTTCTCCTCGGATGTTTCTTTCTTGTTCAGGTAGATAACTTATTGAGTGACCCTCGTAAATGAAATCCTTGGACGTCATCTGCCCTCGCCGAGATTGACATGAGCCCCCCCCCAAAAAAAAAAAAAAAAAAAAGCCCGAGCGAAAGAGAGGAACGAATCTGAAACGACCGCCCTCTGCCGGGTCCGATTTCCCTCCCGTCTCGTCGCGGTTGACGGAGAAATGGAAGAGTACGGAAGGCATTCCGAGTCGGGGGGATGCGGGAACCCTGCCGCGTTCTCGCCCGCGCCCGAAAACGCAATTCCGTTCTGGTATCATACGATGCGACGTACCTCGTCACTACCTTGTGCCTCGTCACTCGTCTTCCCTTGCTCGTATTTAACACGTTTTTATTGATGGAAACCGGCAACGGAGAAAGATTTGGCCTCCTGCTACGACCCATCGTCGACGGAGCCGTCGATCTCGCAATAACCGCAGCACGCAAGTCGGGAAACCGCGAGCGTTCTGAAAGGGTGAGACTCCAGATATTTCACGATCGCCGCCAGAAAGCGCTAGTTAAATGCGTTAGTTAAAGCTTTCGCGAGTTTCCTGAGTTCTGCGGGCTCGTGTCTGTTTTCGATATCTAGCCTGTGAATGATTTCGTCGCTTCCTCGTCTCGGTGCGATGGATTTTAATTACATTTCTTAAGCCTCTCGGAAAGTGGGCGGCCGCACTCCGCCGATTCGAGTCGCTGGTGGCGGCCGAATTCCATCCGATTCCATCGCATTTCCAAGTGGAAATGGGTCCCGAATGCGAGAGCTGCTTTCGCTTAAAATCGATTGCTTTCGATCGAGTGAATCGCCTCGTTAGGTGGACGCACCCCGGATCCAATTAGAATACCTCTGGAAACTTGATGCGATTGCCTTCAAGGATGGTCGATGTTGCCGGAGAGGAGGGAAGAAATAAGGGAAAGGTGGAGAAAAGAGGGAAGGAGGGGGGGGGGGGGGGGGGGGGGGGGGGGGGGGGGGGGGGGGGGGGGGGGNGGGGGGGGGGGGGGGGGGGGGGGGGGGGGGGGGGGGGACGCGAAATGGAGGGAAATCGCCGTCCGTGCTTCTCCTTTTCCTTCTCTCCCTCCTTTCCCGTCTCGAGCCACGACGTGGTGGCTTGGATGCCTGGGAATCGCGTCGAAGAGGAACGCTCTTCACTTTCCTGGTCGCCTGCAGTTGGGGCTGGATGATCATCCTCTTTGGGATTTTCGGCTTCGTGCATGTCACCGGAGCGGGAGGAAGGGGTAAAACCCCCTTTTGTGCAGTTTCGACTCGATGCAGAGGTGGCGAAACTCGCCTCGTGGAGAAAGATGAGATCGTCGATGCGAGATATCCGTCGAATCGGTGTCTCGGAATGGGAGCTCATCCATAAATTTCTTCAAATTCGCTTCTCCGGATTCGAGATCTTCCACGTTAGTTTTCTCTGAATGATGTATTCGCTGACACACCTCCATACATCTTCATCAGATCATAGACGATACATTTAAAATGCGAAAATGAGTCGACACCATCTCCATCCGCAGAATTGAACTGACTCACTCCGGGGTCGATCATCACCATCGTGAGACCGACAGAATTCCTGTCGCACATTAAAAGCCTTCATTTTCGTTTTGGCTTCTTCCCGCATTATCGGTTTGCCGCGTGCAAGCTATTTGCGCAAAAAAAGTCAGCCCAACAAATAACGGCGAACCTCATGCGTGAAGGTCGAATCACGTCAGAAAGCCGAAAAGATACTGGAAACACGATTCATTTCCCCGTCCATCCTAGTTGAAGAATTCAGAAAAAGGAGAGGTGAATCGCGTCGACGGTCTTTCAAGGTTACTTCGCTACCCAGCATCAATCTAGTGACAGCACAGACAATAACCTCGAAAGATGCTCGACGCAGCCTCCAACACGAGGGGGCTGAAAGGATTGCCGAGTGGACCCGGGGGAGAAGGGGGGGGGGGGTGCATTCCTGAGTCAGGGTGCAAACATGAGACTGGAGCCTCTTGCGTGGGACACCCATCTTATCGAAAATATCCTAATAGGTCTGTGTTGGGATGGAACTACAAGGTATGGAAAGAGGACCATCGATTTCTTAAGTCGATGAATGTTTTACAAAAATGATATCCACGAAATTCATCGTATGCATAGGCAGATAAATTCCTAACAGGCTTTTGAAATTTCATTAAAAATCCTTTCACCTTCTAGCAATCATTTAAGCGAAGCTCGTCTCGGTACGTTGAATTTGAATGAACTTTCAGAAACCTGTTGGCAAGATATCGGCCTATGCACAGGGTGAGTTTGGTGAGAATCGTTCCGGTAAGAGAAGAGAGCCATGGATGAAACGTCTGGGGTTTCTCTTTGGCATATTTCGAAAGAGGAAAGGAAAATGAAAAAAGTGGGTGGAGAGCGATCGCCATCTGCTGCGTCGCTTTTCTACGTGGACGAGTCTAAGTCGGGAGACTCGCGAATGAAGGAAAAGCATTCAGTTGCACTCCGGCCGTTCGCGTTCTATCGCATTTACGAGTGGGGAGTCGCGGGAATGCGAACCCTAGGGAACCCTCTGCAAGCTGGATGTAATTGTTTTAAAAGATGGTCGCTGTAGCTCGAGAGAAAGAGGAAAGAAATAAAGAGAAGATGGAGAGAGAGGCGAAGAAATGTCTGCGTTTGGCCGTCTGGGCTCTGGGGACGGGAAATGGAGAGAAATCGCCGTCTGTGCTTCTCCTTTCCCTTTTCTCCCTCCTTTCCCTTCTCGATCGCCGGCTCGCATGCCGGTGGCTTGCATGCCTGGGAATCGCCTGGAAGAGGAACGTTCTCCGGAGAGTTTCTTCATCTGCGGCTCGTTAATCCTACTTGGGCTTCACAGTTCCGAAGGGGGAAGGGGAGGCAAGGCCCTCACCGGATCGGGTGCGTCGGCGCGTTTTCGACTCGAGGCAGGAGTCGCGAAACCAGCCGTGAAGATGGAGGAAGTTCGTTTATGCGAGATATTAGTTGGATCCGCGTTTTCCAGTTTCTTCTTGGAAAGAAGCTAAACCCCGAATCGACTTTTCTTCAAATTCGCCTTTGCCGGATTCGAGATTTTCCACATAACCGCTTTCTCCGAATGATTTACTCTCGAAAGACACATACTTGTGTCTTTCGAAATATTCGAAAAATGTAGTCCACGAGGGAAGAAACGTGATTAGTGGGCGTAACCTGCAGGAAATCGATAGGGCCCGGCCGCGTGTTGTCTGTCGAAGGTCTTCATTCTGAGGTCAAGGTCGCAATATTGGGACACGATGACCTTGTTGGTGAACGTGCCCAACAGGCCTGCCCGGAAGCACAGAAGCAAGGAAGATGCATTCACTGATAGCGCGGCATTCAAAATTTATATATTGGAAGATTGGTTCGCCCTTAGCGCGTCATAAGCGAAGATTAAAATCCGATCGCTGTTGGCGCCAGTGTCTTCAAGGAGAAATTGCTCACCAATGCAGATCAAGATATATGGCTCCGCCAATTTGGAAGTCGGTGATAGACGTTGGCGCTGCAGGTCGACCAGGCACTGCTCCCCGTTTGCGTTGGGATTGCTTCTTCATCGCAGAGACGGAAGGAAACTGGCTTCGAACTGCTGTTGATGTCTCCCTAACAGGCGTAGGAAGGGGGGGGGGGGGGTTTAGGGGGTTAGAACCGCCCTCTTGGGCTTCTCGGTCAGGACACTGACAAACATATTTCAACCTTCCTTGGGAATTCCAATTTTACCTATTCCCCTTCGGGGAAAGTCTGAGGTCCTTCCACACACCCAAGATGCCAGACCATGATTTCTTTATGAACAGGAAATGAGTTCCTCATTTCCTGTTCATTCCATCCCCCGGCTGATTGAATGGGGGACAAAGATTGCAGACACCATCAAGTTACTGAAGCTCCATTGATATGTCTGTTCAGATAGGGTGAATTGTATGTGGTTCTCATAGGGAATGAGGGTTTGTTTATGGCCAAGGCTTCATGATTCTGCCTTGAGTATGGAGATAATGCATAATAAAGTGTCAGATTACATTGCCCTAATGAGATTAGAGAAGAAATATGACGGAGTACTTGACACTTCCGCGAATGATGTTTCAATGGAAAGAGGGAAATGCACTTTTGTCTTCTGTGTGCAAAACGAGACCAATACGTCCATTTAACGACCTCGAGGAGAACGACAACATTCCCACAAAAAGACTTAAGTGCAGCTTGGGCACATTGGATCATCGCGATCATTACTTTTCAAGGGAAAGTTGGAAGCAGCTGATACTTTACGGAGAAATTCATGAGTCAAATATAGTTTTTTTTTTAATCCGCAAGATGGCGCTGTATGTTGATGGAGAGCGCTGTTTTTGACCGGAGGACCCCCTATCTTCATGCTGCGCCACTTATTAGAAATGAATCAAACCGGTAAGGTTTTTTTTTTTTGAGCCTTTGAACGTTATCTGAGCCTCTCGGCCACATATCAGATGTATATAAGAGCCCTTTCAAGCTCCCATAGAAAATGGCGGAATATTTTTTTGTCATAAAATAGATTAGATAACTTACGTCAGTAGGAGGTGGTGAGTGGTTCATGTGCATGCATTATAACTCATGTCAGTAGAATGTGCAGGTGCAGATCTAGAGGTGCAGATCTAATCCCACTGACATGAGTCAGTGGGATTAGATCTGCACCTCGACGATAAGGACGTACTGTTGGCTCTGCGCTTACAGTATCTCCTGTGATGTCTTAGGGATACATATCCATTGGTGAAATGCTTTGGTTTTTCCAAACATTCCGCTTCTCATTCAGTGTGTAAGAATATAAATATAAATATAAATTTTGCTGACACGATGAAGTGTTTCTACTTTCCGAAAAGGGGAACTTTCCTTCAGTGATACAGGAACTGCCAATTAATGATTTATTTTTTTATTGGATTGGTCTCCCGAAATAAAATTGTCTGTAGAATATGTGTTTTTATTGGCAGATAATTTGATCTACAACGGAGTCGTGATATGAAGGGCGAGATCAAAGGCAAATGGCGCCCCTGGATCATCGCAGTGCTTGCTGTCGTTCAAGTCAGCGAGGTAAGGATGTGGCTTTCACTTTTTATGTTCCTCTGCAAGGGAGGCCAAGGTTGTACTTTTCTTCTCGGTATTTGTTTCGTAGTGCTGGGGTGCTCCTCCGTCGATCAGTCCCCAACTCCTTTCCACGTACAGGAGGTTCTGGTTCTTCAATGTGACCAATCAGCAGAAATTTCTGGACGGAAATGAACCTTTGCACTTGGTGGAAATCGGTCCATACGTATTTCGGTAAGGCGTGAGGGATCCCATCTTCCTGGCACAATGCACGCTGAATTCTCACTGAAACCTCCTTTTTCCATCAGAGAGGTCGTTGAGAAGAATGTGACGGGGACGTTTGAGAACGGGACAGTAGAATATTATGAGAAGAAGACGTTCTTCTTCGTGAAGGAAGAGTCGGTCGGTGATCAGAGCGAGTTGATGACCACCATCAATGCTCCCATCCTCGTAAGTCCATCGTATGACATCTTTGAAAAGCGGAAAACTTGATTCTCCAGCAGAACGATTAATAGCAGAACCGGCTCGCAAATTAACTACAGCTCTATTAGCATATAACATTGAATCAACATTGATTCAACATTGGTTCAACGTCCGGATGTTGAATCAATGTTGTTTCAATGTTATATGAAGTAATGTGAAAACCAATTTTCAATCGCTTTCCCTTTCTTGAGAGTATAAACTGGACTTCACTTATGTCCTCCAAGTCTGTTGACGACCAATTAGACACCTTAATGGGGAAAATCCATGCTTCGCAGGCTCGTTTCTTACCCACCAAACGCATTACTCCTCGAAAGCCCTACCATACCAGTTGTCAGCCAGGATTTTTCCTGGCTGACAACTGGTATAAGAATCTCGAGCGCTCGTAAGAACGCCCTGTTTCTTATCTTGTATTATGGCCCTTCAACCCCATCTCTTCTAAAGTACTACAAACGCTATCGATCCATACTCCATCGAGTTATTCGGAAAGCCAAGCAAATGTCCGTCATTTCCGAATATGAACAGTGCTCGAGAGACAAAAACCTAAGAGGCCTCTGGCGTCTGACAAACAGGATTCTTGGCAGGGATGCTACCCATACAATTGTGGGACTTAGAGAAAATGACCTTCTTACTAACGGCGAGGATATCGCTAACCGCATGAGGAGTCATTTCTCGAGTCTCTTCTCCCCTCACACACCTCCAATATCTAGTGTACCAGTTGGCTCCTCCCCTCAATTCTCTTTTTTCCTCCAGCCTATCACAGAACTTGAAACCCTCACAATCATCTCACATCTATCGTCAACCAAGGCCACTGGTCCTGACAATGTCAGTGCTAAATTTATAAAAAAGATAGCTCAATCCATCGCTCTCCCCCTCACCCTTATCTTCAACAATTCATTAAGTACGGGCGTTTTTCCATCAGCTCTCAACCATGGCAAGCTCATTGCGATCCATAAAAAAGGAGAGAAGGACATAGTCTCAAACTATCGGCCAATCACAATTCTACCGGTTATATCAAAGGTCTTTGAAAAATTGGTGCAACAACGTCTCGACTCGTATCTCAACTCCATCTCCTTCATCTCTCAGTCACAGTTTGGATTTCGTAGCAATCGCAGCACTCAAGACGCACTGCTTCATTTCTTGAAGGAGGTGCATTCTATCCTAAACAGAAATCAAGCAGCCGTAGGCATTTTCTACGATATCGCCAAAGCATTCGATAGCATCTCCCACAAATTATTGCTACAGAAGCTAGAATCGCTTGGCGTCCGCGGTGTCGCAAACTCGTTATCGCGAAAGCGTTCGATAGCATCTCCCACAAATTATTGCTACAGAAGCTAGAATCGCTTGGCGTCCGCGGTGTCGCAAACTCGTGGTTTCAGTCTTACCTCTCTAACCGGCAACCAGCAGTACATCACAGGGATCATACAGGTCGCGTTCATGTCTCAGAACCGATCGACATTACTAGCGGCGTTCCACAGGGCTCGGTCCTTGGTCCGCTCCTCTTTCTAATATATATTAACGACCTCCCCGCCAACGCTCCCAAGATTCACCTCACGCTCTTTGCCGACGACACCACAACCTGCCTTCCTGTTTCACGGAACTCCACGCCCACTTCCGTCTCGACATCTGGCGACATAGCCATACATTCTTGGACAACCAACAACGATCTGCGCCTCAACGCATCAAAAACAACTCGAGTCCTTTTTTCCACACTCCGACGTACTGATCCCCCACTCACCTTCGCCACCTCAACCAGGTGGTTTTTCTCGGTACTCGTTTTCTCGGTACTCGTTTAGATCCTTATTTTCGCTGGGACAACCAGGTGGACCATGTCCGTCGCCTCTTGAAATGTGCTGCAGCATCTACTTACCGTCTCTCTTCTGTTCTCTCTCAGGAAGACTTAAAAAAAAATGTACTACGCTCTTGCCTTTCCTCACTTGAGTTATGGAGTTCTTGCCTGGGGTCTTTGCTCTGAGCGACATGTCTCATGACAGAAACGCATCGTCAGAACCATCCTCCACAAGTCAATCCGTACCACATGTCGCCCTCTCTTCCCTAAACTCAAATTCCTTACCTTCCCCAGCTTGGTTTTCTTTCACACTAATGTCTATTTCCATGCTATTGTCTCTAAAAACGAAGCCATCTCAAATGCAGGCGTACATTCCAATGACACCCGAAGTAAAAATGACTACCACCGTTCAATTGATTCATCCGCCCTGGCAAGTAGACTTGGGGGCCACATTACTTCAATTCTATCTCCAGGTCAATTCGGCAACTCAAATCATACAGCCTTCCGAAGGCAGTTGAAGGAACTCTTTCTCTCACACCTGCTCTATTCATTCTCAGAATTCTTTGATATTACCTGGTAAACTCCCCTCCTACCCCACATCAGGGTTACTTACCCAGCGTCCTCTTACTCGAGTTTCCTCTTATGTAAAGGTGCAGTCACACCTCCCTCCCCATTCTCTTTTTTATTTATATTTATTTATTATTTTTATTCCAACTCTCCTCATTTTGTCATTCTCTTACCTCACCCGTTTTGACTTTATACTTATGTTCATGTGTTCAGTTTCGGTGTGTCCAATTCAGTTCTGTATGTTCTGAGTGTTCTGTCCAGTTCTGTTTACTTTCTTACTTATTTTATTTTATTTATATATTTCTGTTTATTCATTTATCTATTTTTCTCTTCACCTTCTGCCTCTTTACGAGAGTATGTATATTTGTAGTTTTCAGATATGACGAACTCAACGGACCAATTGGTCTTGCAAGAGTGATGGAATAAATATTATTATTATATTTCACCAAGAACACAAAGTGATGTTCGATATTATGCCAGAATAAAAAAGAACCAGAGTAGATATGAGGAAAGGCGACAGGGGTTCAGCCGCACGCACCTTCACACGTCGCACAGGTATCTGAGACCCCTCCGAGCTGCCAGGCACGTGAGCACTCTGGAGGGCCTTATCACTGCATATCCTGTACTGCATGTTTTGCAGCCCGAAAAAAGAAATGATTTCTATTTAATCCAGCATGTTGTAAAGCACAAACTTTTTGCCGGACAAAATGCAGCATCCAGCTGTTGTAAAGCATATTTCTCGATGCATCGCAGTATTGCAGTCCAACAGCTGGACATTCTGGATTTGATTTTCCAGTACAGCATACAGTTGCAACATCTAGCATACTTTACAGCACGAGTAAGAACTCGGCGTGACTCTTCTGGTGTACCTTGGACTAGGATGTCGAAAAAATCTGCATCGCTCCAAAGTCGCGCTTCGTGAAATGCTCCCTGATAGATCGACAGAGGTGGTTCACCAGAATGCATGGACGCATTCATGTTCGCTATCTATGCTCTGGTTTCCTCGAAAAGTTCAAGGAACGGAGTGCCTCCGGTAGGATGTCCATCTCCATGTGATCGCGTTTCCTTCGGCGCGCCTCCCCGGGTTTCCGCGGCGCAATATCACCGAACATTTTTTACTCGTCGACAGCAATGGGTCTTCCGAATGTATCGATACCGATGAAACACCAAAATTTTTGCCTGGATTTGCTTGAGACTGTCCCAGTCTAGAGATGAAGTCATAGGTCGCGATTTTAGTAGGTCTCTTTAGAGGCTGGCGTCTGCGTCATCTTTCCATGCAAAATTTTAAATTTGTCTCGTTCTCTTCCTTATTCCATTCACTTTCCCCGTCGGATCGATTTTCTGGCATGGAAGGAAACATTGCTGTCACGGATGCATGACTGACGTGGGGATGAAAGTGTAGAATTCGCTCTCAAATAATGATGTAGAGTCCTTGCATCGTGTTCCCACGGGTTCGCGTTGGGGAACGGATTTTGCGAAAATCTCGTTTCGTTATGCCTTTCCTTTCCTCCTTCCTAAGCGTAGCGTCGATAGAAAAAGTGAGAGGTGGGATGGGGGACACGGGACCCACGGGAACTCTAGGACACTGAAACTCGTGAATTTCATACGTCTTCTACTTCTAACACTTGCTTCTTTCTTTTTTGTAAGCGCGGGAGTCACGTGCCCCCCCCCCCCGCCCACACGCTGCGCCGCAACTCTCCTTAAATCTGTTACGAGTGACGTATTGAGAAATACGTGCGTGCGTTTTGGAAATATAACCATTCGGATCTCCCAGCCGAGTGGTTTCCAAATCTTATTGGTAGTTTTCCCGTGGCCTTCGAAAATCGGCTGCAAAACTTTTTTTATATTCGGACCTGGATTTCTCAGGAACGAGGAGATACTATGGTTTTTGAAAGTCGACTTTTAGAGACGACCAGGAATATTTTTGCCCTATTACATACCTATTCCCCTCACCTATGATGACTTGACTGATGCCATGTCGGAGAATAATGCAGGAATCAGTCACGTTTTCCCCTACATGCCTCCTTCCTCGCAAAATCCCGCAAGTCCCTTTCAGTAAGTACTTCGTCCCTTCACCATCAATCCCCTTCATCATGTGGCGGAATGATCCACGATTCAGTTGAGACCTCAATCGTCTCTCTAGGCGAATATGTTCCCTAATGGTCGGACTCTTTCCTCGATGAACTTAGCTTTCCCCGCTAAAACCACGAGCAGACGACACTCGACACGACGCAAGAGTATCCCCTCGCACATTCTCCCTCATTCCCATTCCCCTTCCCCCAGCCTCTCGCGCCAGGACGTGCCTGGCACCCGCCTTCTCGTCGCCTTGACGCATGGCTGGGACAGGGAAACGCCTTCCTTCATCCCGTTTATATGTCTTTGCTCTTCAAAATTCCGTCCCCATCCCAGGTAGCATATAACATTGATTCAACGTTGATTTGGTGTGGATCGAATGTTTCACTGTTGAAGGTTTATACTTTTATGTTGCATCAACATTTATTCAACGCGGTGACCGTCACCTATATACACCCACATTGACTCAACATTGAACCGATGCTGCACTATTCACGGTGGAAGTGTCAACATGAAGTCAGCCTCGATTCAATGGATTCTTTTGCAGTAAAAAAATCCATTTTATTCCATCCACCTTTAAGAT